TCGGGTCTTTGCTTTTCTGTAGACACACAACAGCAAAAAAGGAGTTTAGCACCCAATGGTGCATACCATATTTGCAGTCCAAATGTGCTGTGGTATGCCTGAAACACAGCATTCTTTGTACTAAAGTAAAATATCTGAATGAAAGAAAGCTTTCACATTTATGAGGTATGTTCAAAGGTAGGAGAAGACCAAGTTTTCTGAAAGCCCTGAACCCCAAAAAGGCCTGTGATTCTACGAAATAGCAGCCAAGATAGATAACCTTCTATGTCTAAATCTACTATTTCCCTTCCAGGGTGGTTGTGAGGGTCAAATGGGAATACTTGCAAAGTGCTTAGCGCAGTGACTGGCACATGATAAATGTTAGCAAATACATTTGCTACTGTTGCTTTTATTGTTGTAGTTATCCAATGATAGTTAATGGAATTCAAACATGTGTGCCTGCAAATACAGATACCCTTTTCTCTTCCAACCCCCATACTGTAACCCCCTGATTACAGGGGAAACTGATTGTCAAGGATCAATAAGCATCGAGGGCAAAGCAATGAAACAAGGAGCAAGTTGGTGGCCAGGCTTGGCAGGTGTCAAGCTACGGTGGCTGCCTGCCAGTAGAGTACAAAGCCAGCATACAGAGGCACACTGAGAGTCCATCAGGCTGCTTTTCTAACACAGCCAGAGCGATCTGGTTTTGACCAAGTAAGGAAATGACAAGGATTCAAAGTGGACCCAACATTTTACATGAGACTCAGCCACTCCAACGCTGAAAGCCTCAATGGGCAAACCAGAGCCAGAGAGAGAACAGCTGCCTTTTTTGTCCCGAGAGCTTTGCCTATATACATTCTGTTCCTGGTGATTACTTTGGCACTGCCCTTTCCCCTCTGCCCTTCTCCTGTCCCCATGTCCTCAATAGTTGTTAGGACTGTGTGTTTTGGGCAGGAATTTGAACTATTTCTTTACATGCAGAGATTTTTTTTAAAGAATAATTATTATTTCAATAGAGTAGCTGGCATCATAGATCTCTTAAATTATTAATAGAACAGTATAAACTCAATCCAAATGTTTAAGCAGTGATGGAGCAAGGATATGAGCAAGATATGAACAAGGAGTTGGAAAGTACTTAACACAAAAACCTAACTTGATGCTTATGACCCCATTTTAAAGATGCGGAAACCAAGGCTCAAAAGTTAGGCAGCCTGATAGTAAGGAATATACCCAGGATTCTAACTCATGTCTGAGTCCAGTGCTTTGTCATACCATTCTGCCAGGCACAGTTCTAGAGTGCTCCAGGTCAAGCTAATCACCAAGGATTTATTATAAATCTGCTTTGTGCCATGCATTGTCCTAGGAAGTGGGGACATAAAAACAGAAATGAAACTAGATCTGCCCTCAAGAAGCTTACATTACTTGCTAGTAAAGTGAGTTATTCTCCCTATAAGATTTTTTGTTGTTGTTGTTGAGTCATTTTTCAGTTGTGTCTGACTCTTCAAGAACTTATTAGGGGTTTTCTTAGCAGAGATACTGGAGTAGGTTGCCATTTTCTTCTTAAGTCATTTTCCAGAGGAGGAAACTGAGGCAAACAGTATTAAGTGACTTGCCCAGAGTCACATAACTAGGAAGTATCTGAGACCAGATTTTGAACTCAGAAAGATGAGTTTTCCTGACTCCAAGCCTGGCACTCTATTCACTGTGCCACCTAGCTGCTTCCCTCCCCCCATAAGACCGGAATTTTAATGTTGGATATGGAAGAATTTTGTTGTTGTTGCTGTAATATCTTTGATTTCAGTAGGAGGAACTCCCAGTTTAAAATTCCTCCCAAATAAGTACCTGTCAGTATAGTCTTATGAAGCTGCCTGGGCACTAAGAGGTTAAGTGACTCACTCACAGTCATGCACCTAGCACATATTGGAAGCAGGACTTAAAATCAGGTCTTCCTGATTCTAAGGCCAGGTCTCTATCCACTACGCAAGACTACCTCTCATGGAAAATCTATAGAATTGAAATAAAAGACTCATCCACCCTAATTTCAATAAACATTGGTTCAAATGCACAATATTTAAGAGTTGACTGGGAGAGCTTGCCTGAGTTCATGACAGTAAGTCCATCTAGGTTTGCATTAAAACAGTTAGTACCATCCACAAACCAGAGAGCAACTCAAGCTGTAGAAACAGAAGTCCTACATGATCAGATTTGATGAGAGGGGTTGGGAGCAGAATGGGCACTGGCACTACCAGCACCATCATTTAATATCACTAAATCAAAATGGAAGCAAACACAGATAACAATAAAGCCGTAGGTCAAGTCCATATATAGTAAGTAATGGTGGGGCATCGACTAAGCAAATTAATCAAGTCATCCCTAGTCCATTTAAAGTAATAAGAAAACGGGACTTTAACTAGATGAAACCAATCTCTATCATTGACTTTACTTCAAATCAATTAACTATAGGCTTTAATTAATTTATTTTGATTTATCAATAATCACTTCCATATGTTTTTGAGTTTAAAATTTTTCTCCCCCTTCCTCCCTACCACCCTCCCCAAGATGGCACACAATCTGATATAGGCTGTACATTTACATTCACGTTAAACATATGTTCACATTAGTGATGTTGTAAGTAAAAATTAAAACCAATAGGAGGAACCATCAGAAAGAGGAAACAAAACTCAACAGAAGAGAAAAAAAATAACAAGTCAACTTCCATAGTTCTTTCTTTGGATGTGGATAGCATTTTCATCACAAGGCTTCTGGAGATGTCTTAGATCCTTGTATTGTCAGGAAGGGTTAAGTTTATCAATATTAGTCATCACACAACGTGGCTGTTATTGTGTACAATGTTCTCTTGGTTCTGCTCACTTCACTTGGCATCAGACCATACAAGTCTTTCCAGGTTTTTCTGAAGTCTGCCCGCTCATCATTTCTTATAGCATAATAGTATTCCATCACATTCATGTACCACGACTTGCTCAGCCATTACCCAATTGATGGGCATCCTCTCAATTTCCAATTTTTTGCCACCACAAAGAGCTGCTATGAATATTTTTGTACATGTGGGTCCTTTTCCTGTTTGTGTGATCTCTTTGGGATATAGCCCTAGAAGTGCTATTGCTGGGCCAAAGGGTATGCACATTTTTATAGCCCTTTGGGCATAGTTCCAAATTGCTCTCCAAAATGGTTGGATCATTTCACAACTCCACTAACAATGCATCAGTGTTCCAATTTTACCACATTCTCTCCAACATTTATCATTTTCCTGTTTTGTCATGTTGGCCAATCTGAAAGGTATAATGTGGTACCTCAGAGTTGTTTTGATTTACATTTCCCTAATCAATGGTGATTTAGAGCATTTTTTCATGTGACTATAGATGGCTTTAATTTCTTCATCTGAGAACTGTCTGTTCATATCCTTTGACCATTTATCAATTGGGGAATGGCTTGTATTCTTATAAATTTGACTTTATTCTCTATATATTTTAGAAATGAGGCCCTTATCAGAGACACTGGTTGTAAAAATTCTTTCCCATATTTCTACCTTCCTTCTAATCTTAGTTGCATTGACTTTGTGCAAAAACTTTTCAATTTAATGTAATCAAAATTATCTACTTTACTTTTCATAATGTTCTCTATCTCCTATTTGTTCATGAATTCTTCTGTTCTCCATAGATATCACAGGTAAACTATTCCTTGCTCTCCCAGTTTGCTTATAGTATCAGCCTTTATATCTAAATCATGAACCCATTTTGACTTTATTTTGGTATATGGTGTGAGATTTTGGTCTATGCCTAGTTTCTGCCATACTCTTTTCCAGTTTTCCCAGCAGTTTTTTTCAAAGAGTGAGTTCTTATCCCAGAATCTGGCGTCTTTGGGTTTATCAAATAATAGATTACTATAGTCATTGACTTCTGTGTTTTGCATATTTAACCTATTCCACTGATCCACCACTCTATTTCTTAGCCAGTACCAAGCAGTTTTGATGATTGCTGCTTTATAATACAATTTAAGATCTGGAATGACTAGGCCACCTTCCCCTGCATTTCTTTTCATTTAACTACAGGTTTTAGACTATGTATGAAAAGGTCTTGGAAATGGAGCAATGTTTCACAGCAATCATATTTGGAGAAGTCAGAGAAATTTGGTCATACCCTAGAGGTCCATCTCTAAAATTTCAAGCTGCAAAGTCATCCTAGAATTCAGATTCCTGTAAGATTTGAAGAAGCCTAGTTCATTCCAGGTAAACCTCCTAAGGGGTTACCTAGGAGGACAGGAAAGAGAGTATAGACTACTTCCATTTCTGTCCCCTCTATTCCTCTTCACGTTTTTGACCCAAGAATGGCTTTTCCAGCTTTGAAGGATTTGGGATTTCTTAAGTTCCTACTGGTATCCTACAGGAGTCCCTAGATCAGGTGATAACAGTATCTACATTGAGAGACTGGTTGTAGATTCATGGTTCTACAAGAAGCCCAATAAAAAAGCCTATGAAAGAACTTCATGAGAGCCCAATGAAGAGATAAAAAAGATTTCTATCAACCAGGAGCTAAGAGTTGCCTCTTTACCACATGTGCTTTCTATAATCTCAAGTCCACTTTCATCTGGGCTCTGTTTGCACTGATGAGAGAGGGTAGAACAAACATTTATTTGGGGGATATTTTGTACTAACTGCACTATGTTAGTAGATACCCTTTTCTAGATGCTACTTCAGGCTAGCTGACTAAATTGATCCTCAACTGATAATCTTGAGAAAAAGCACACTGATGGGGCTCATGAGATATACTGTATTAGAAAATACAGTTTGTTAACCCCTCAGGGATACTCCAAGGACCCCTAAGGGAATTTAGTAGCCAAGGTTTTGGGGACCCGATTCATCAACTTAAGGAGGAGCTGGGATAGTAGCTCTAGAACAACAGCATTACATCTAATCTAGACAATATTCATAAGAGAATACAGAAAATGACCATTTTCTTTAATTGGCTGATATAAAGGCATCAATAATTTTTTTAAAAAAACTATTTCTGAGACAGTTAACATTTTATTAATAAATTTCAATAAAAAGACATTAAAATATGCTTAATTTTCTATTGTATGAGTTCTTTAGCTAAGATAAAAAAAGAATGAATTATAAAACCCTAAAGATTCTAGGAACTTCTATAAGCCAACCCCAAATTTGGATGAATATACAAAAATCCCTGCTCCCCTCGTGGCTTTAAGTACCGGCAACAGGGCAAATATTTTCTATCTTCCATTCCTCTAGATCACTAAGGTTGCTATAATTATACTTCTGACAAGAGGCAAAACAAATTACAAAAATAATGAAACATTTCACTGTCATTAAAGATTAAATATGAGCTTGCTAATCAACTGCTGAAAATACCCATACATAATGCAAGGGACAGACTGGTCATTGCAGATTGCTTACTGAAGTGGGGGTGATGCAGAAGCCAGAGTAAAAAAACAAAATCACAATGGAGCTGAACAAGACTGCATTAGAAGAAAAAAAATATCCCCAGGGCTTTTTCAAGGTCAGTTGACTAAGGCTGGATGAAAGTGCAGAATATCTCAAATACCCTGAAAGAAAAAAGAAAAGGAAAGAAAATTACCTCAAGCAGCAAAACAAAATTCATAGTCATTGTAGTCCAAGGTGAAGGAAGCCCCTCAAAAGAAAGGGACTGGTTTGAAATCTCCCTATTACTTCATCAGCTTTAAATAATTATTTTTAATTATGTAAAGTACCAGTGAAAGGATTTAATTTTCTAGTCTAGTTGCATTTGATTCACCCAATGGTTTATCAGCAGACATACTAATAGCTTGTTGAGTGACACCTAGCATGCTGTGTTCTCAGAGATAGTCAAACATGGTTCATAAATAACAGTGTGCCCAAACAAATACTGTTACACACAGCTATAGTGAGGACTTTGGCACACTCAGCACAGAGCAGCACAATTTGAATGAAAATACTGCTTGAATACATTAGGTCATAATAATTTGGTCTTTTATTTGAAGAATATCAAAAGAAGGGAGCATTCTGAAATTTATTGGACAGATGTGTGTGTGTGTGTGTGTGTGACTTTGAAAATCGCACCAGGTAAGGTTTAGGTATAGAACCTCGAAATAGGAGGACAGCCTTGTGTGATCTTTGAACCATATGCTTCTCCCAAATAGAGGTAGAGAGCTCAACTGAAATGTTTGCTGAGTTTCTACTACACGTAAGGTTATGGGGTACTGCTGCTGAATGAACACACAGACCTTGAACTTGATAAGCTGAGTACAATAGTGGTAATAAGACAAATATACAAATGATTTTTGCTCACGGGTTTGGACCTGTGATTTTATTTGCAGGGAATGCCTGGCAAAAGAGAATTCCATATCCATGCACACAGGTAACTGGACTGCAACTTACAGTGGGAGAGAGGCAGAAAATTCAGTAAGCACCTACTATGCGCCAGGCATTGTGCTAAGAGCTACGCAAATGTTATCTCAGTTGATACTTACAACAACTCTGAGAAGTAGATGGTATTATAATACCCATTTTACAGATGAGGAAACTGAGGCAGACAGAGGGGAAGGGATTGGCCCAGGGTCATACAGCTAGGAAGCATCTGAGGTCAGTTTTAACTCCAATCTTCCTGACACCTAGTGCTCTACTCCCTGTGCTGTTCTCATCTTACAGTCTTAGGGTGTTAGGGGTAGGGGAAATGACTTACCTACAGTCACCCAGATGATATATGGACAACTGGGTAGCAAAGTAGACAGAGTGCTGGGCCTAGCGTCCAGAAGTCCCGAGTTCAAAGCCTACCTCAGACTTTTACTAGCTGTGTGACTCTGAGCAAGTCACTTAACTTCTATTTGCCTCAGTTTCCTCATCTGCAAAATAGGGGTTATAAGTAGCCCCTACCTTCCAGGGTTGTTGTGAGGATCAAATGAAATTAATAATTGTAAAGGGCTTGGCACAGGGCCTGGCATATAGTAAGCATTATATAAATGTTAGCTATCATCATCATCATCATCATCATTAATTATGTCAGTGGCAGGAACTAAACCCATCCTTGTCTTCCTGGCTGCAAGGACAGCCTTTTCATAGAAGGACCATAATATCCTAGGATCCAGAGTTGAAAGGGACCTTCCCTGGCCATTCAGTCTAATGCTCTCATTTTACAGTTGAGGAAACTGAGAAACAGAGAGATGGCGTGATTTGCCCAAGGTCATACAGCTAGTGAGTATGAACCCAGGTCTCCTGACTCCAAGGCCAGCATTCTCTACCCAACATGTCATATAGCCTTTAAAATAATAAACACAAATAACAACGCAAGTTGTAGTGTGTTCCTAAGAAGGGTATAATGGGATATGATTATTAAAATTGAGGAGAGATCACTTCTGGTTGAGGAAATCTGAGAGGGCTTCCTGGAGGAAGGATGCATCTAGGTTTGGAGAACAGGTAGAATTCCTCCCAGGCATGAGGAAGGGTAGAAAAAAGGAGTTCCAAGGGGTGTGACACTTAATCACCTGCTCTTTTCTGCATATAGCCCATTTCCTCCAAATAGACTAGAAGCTCTTTAAGGAAAGGGACTAGGTCTTGTATTCATATTTATTCAATTTTTACTTATTTCTAGGGCAGCTACATGGGGCAGTGGCTAGAGTGCCCAGCCTGAAATCAGGAAGACTCATCTCCCTGGGTTCTAATCCTTCCTCAGACACTTAGTAGGTGTATGACCCTGGGCAAGTCACTTAACCTGTTTGCCTCAGTTTCCTGATCTATAAAATGAGCTGGAGAAGAAAATGGCAAACCTCTCCAGTATCTCTGCCAAGAAAATCTCAAATGGAGTCACAAAGAGTTGGACACAACTGAACAACAAAACACATTTCTACCACTACAATGCTAAGAACAGCAACCTACATATAACACACGCAATGCATTTGTGTTGACTGAATGAAATTTCATATTTAATTATACTCATTTTTTAATATCTCATGGGGAAAAAGTAGAGTTTGATAATTAGCTTTTGATTCTATGCTATTTTTAAAGCTTAAAAAAATCCACCAATCTGGAGATTAGTACACCAGTAACATGAGTCATTGTGAAATAAATTAATTGGCATGGGAGGGGAGTGGGGTGGGGATGGGAGTGGGGAAGGATTCCTTTTGAAAAGCTGATAAAATGTATCTTAAACTTGGCTGGATTTGGGTTTTAAATCATTGTCATTCAGCAACATTGAATAGGAAATCTCAGCAATTTTTCTCCTGACATCACCACGGGGAGGTGTGACCTTCACTTGGAATTCCTGGCATTATAGATCTAAATGCTCTACAAAATAGTCTCACTTTTTATTTATTCTTCATTACTTACCATAATAATAGTGCTGGGACAGATAGCATTAAAAAAAACAAAAAACAAAAAACTCAACAACTAAGTTAAGCTGCTTTTCTGCCATTGGAGGAATTTACTATCTAAATACTAAAAGAAGAATGGGAACCAAGTCTGGGGAAATGGGAAATGGGAAATGTACACAAGAATCATAGGAACACCAATTTAGAGCTAGGGGAAAAAAAAGCCCGACTTCATCATGTTATAGGTGATGAAAGTGAGGCCCAGAGAATTAAGTGATTTATTCGAGATCACACACTGACTGGGACAGAATTTGAATCCAGGTCCTCCTAACATCATGCTGCTTTCCAATTTCTCTAAAACACCCTGGCTGATGTAATAGACAAGGGCATCTGGTCTAATTAAAAAAAAAAACAAACAAACAAATCAAGAAGCATTTAATAAGTATCCATTATGCGATAGTCACTGTGCCAAGTGCTAGGGATACAGAGACAAAAAATAGTCCCCAACTTTATTTCTGCATTCACCCAAAATACACAAAACTGAGCCAACACCAAGGACTTGCATTTTAATGATATACCAAGTCATTTGCTTCCATGACCCAGTGATGCATCTAGCCTTGAAAGAGGAGGCCTTCTATAATAACTATAGCTTCCCTGTTGGCATTTTTTTTTCTGCTAAGCATCCTCCATGGATTTATATTGCACCTCTCCTCCAAATGATGGGATTGCTCATTCCTTGGTGAGATGGCTAGACCTTTTGCCTCATTTTAGCATGGGTGAAAGCAAGGCACTTGGCTAAGATGACAGAAATAGTGGTGAATCAAGACCCCAAATTCATGGTTCTTCATGATGACGGTGTTATTTTATTAGTTTGAACTGCATTTCTTAGCCATCCCAGACATCTCGAAGTATCCCCTGATTTTCCCTCTTGGAACTAGGAGCTATTGTTGTTCATTCGTCTCCAAGAGGACCAATGACATCAGGACGGTGAGGTCTTGACCTCTAAGTAAACTGGATTTAAGTGAGGCAGAGTTGTGAGAAGTCATCAGCCACACTCTCTTCTCCAGAGTCTCGGGTCCAGTGGCAAGACATAGGTCAGGCCGACTGGTGATGGCCCCAGACACAGTGGGAGACCTTAAAAAGACCTCTTTTTAAGCTAAGGTTTTTCCCAGGTCCAAGTCTGTCTGAGGCAACACCCATTCAGTAGTTAAAGGCTAGGTTAGGATTGAGGTAAAAGATGGCCTAGTTTGCCTCCTCAGAAGAAGAGATATGGGAAGAGAAGACACAGAAACAATTGCTATTTACATTCACTGAAAGCCATCAAAACCTAAACAATGAGCTAGTGAGGCTTGGGCTGGGGCCTATTATTAGTCAATGAAAGCCAGAGTGATTTGGGTTTAAAGGCATAGTCAAGTAGCTCCATTTGAATCCCAATGGGCTTTATCAAAGCCTAGTTTTCCTGAGCTAAATTTCAAGAAACTTAGCCTGAAAAGGCACTGCATCCTTGGCCATCTCCAGTTGTCCTGATCCACATCTGGCCACTGGACCCAGATGGCTCCGGAGGAGAAAGTGAGGCTGGTGACTTTGCACAGTCCTCCCTCACTTAAATTCAAATCACTTGCGTGTCATGGCATCACCTTCCTGATGTCATGGTCCTCTTCAAGAACGAAGAACAAACAGTAGCAAATGAAAACTACCCTAGACAAAAGAGTTAATTGTCCCAGTTTAAAAAAAAAAGATCTAATAAATAAGGAAAGAAAAAATCTAACTCCCAAACCTAGGAAGAAGATAGAAAATACAACATAAGAAAGGAAGTTGCTTCCTTCTTTCTCTTTCTTGACCAATCCAAAGGCCACAGGCTAACACATGACAGTCTTCCTGTGTGCATATGTTTTTATGTACTGGGATGCACAAATAACATGCAAAACATAGAAATTTATTTTGCTTACCTGAATTTTCCCCAAATAAGCATACTTTTAACATAATCCATAAGCCTATAAGACCCAATCTCATTCCTCCAAGGTTGCCTTCACCTCTAACAGATAAAGCTGTCTCAAAATAATGACTTTCCTCCTTCAAATATTCATTTAAGTTTGATTTTTCTCTCGATTTTCCAGTTCATCTAACTCTGCAACAACTTTATCATCTCCCATCCTCTTCGCAGATTTCTATTTTCCTCAGTGCCATCCTTTGAGCAAATACATTTGTTAACTTAGGGGTTCATTGAAATTTTCAGAGCCAGTCCAAATATGTCTGGGCCCATTTGCAAGGTATTAACCCGATTCACATCACCATACACCAAGCCTTACTGGGGCTTAAGCACCTTCATTCCTCATGCCACCTATATGTGAAACATACATTGTGACAAAGGCTCCAGACTTTTCTTTCCTAGGATCTTTGAGAATACTTTTCGTTTTTAAGTTGTACACGGTAGGAGGTTTCTCAATAGCAGTTTGTTGTTAAAAAAGTAAATGGAATAACTATTCCTTCGAATATTCATTTTCCCTGAAAGACTGTGTTCCTGGATCATTCTGTTTGACCAGTTATCTCTGCATGAAAATCTTCCCAAAACATTCTTTTAAAAGTTCATTTATTTTTGTTTTAGTTCTGGACACTGGGTGATGAAAAAAAAAAAAAAACAATCCTGTATTCAAGGCAATCAAGCTGAGAATGAAGGGCAGGTGTCATTTTTCATTTTGATAAGTCAGTGCTGAAAACAGGCCCTTTTATCCCTCTTCTTTTCCCTCAGAAGCTATTGTGGAATTTATAGTAATCACACTTCACACTGGCTGACTGCCCATCGCAGAATGCCGAGTAATACCTAGAGAGAGGACTACATTTTTTTTTAACAAATTCTCATTGTTTTAACTCAACTCTGAAAGATGATTTTTTTTTGGGGGGGGGAAGAGTAAAAAGAAACTCACCCAGCCTTTACCACAATTCATATTTCCAAAGCCTCCAAACTGGTGGAGGCCACTTGGTTGACTTTTGCCTTCTATCCGGTCCAGAAAAGCATTATTTACCCTTAAAAACAAAGAAAAATGCAAGTTAGTGGAAGGCCTGCTGCAGCCTTGGGAGATTTTTGAAAACCTAATGTGCTATGTGAACCAACCATACAGATTGCTTTTTTCCCCCTAGCTTAGGATTTCCACATAAACCATCCTGACATGCTGATAACAGACCCATACACTGGAATCGGTGCCAATCTTGGCTCCGAGCACCAGGGCACAAATGCTGAGTTTTACACTCCAGCCAGCTTGTGGTATTCCTACCCCCAACTCCAGCACAGCAATAATACTGCAGAGACAGCTATATCTTACCCCTCGGGGGCACTGCATTGCTAAGCGGGAACCCCAGGGGTTGTCCGAGGACAAGAGGCAACAGATGGGGTCAGCCTTGGCAGAGACCAAAAGTTGGAAAGACAGTGGAAACTGAACTGAGTACTGAACTGAACAGAACAACTTCTGGGGAGGCGGGGGTTGTCAATACAGCAACAGAGAGAGACACTCCTCCTTTGGCCCCAAATCAGTGGTGCCTTCAGGAGTGGTCTCCAAGGAGAAGGGCTCTGATGAGAGACAGAAAAGGGATGCGTAAGAAGGAAGAGGAGAAGCCTAGGAATGGCTGTAGAACAAACAGGCATCGGCTTTCCCAGCTGTTTCTCCCTAGAATACATGAGATATTTCAGAACTTAAAGCCAATATCATGCTATGCCTTACTCAAGTAATGCATGGGACCAAGGGAATGAAAGCAGTATGTGGGATCTTAGTATTCTTTAGCACAATCTTTAGTAACAGGGTACTTTTAATTGATACAAGGCAGTGAGGTGGGCAAAGTACATGGAGTTCTGGATGTTAAGAAGACCTGAGTTGGAATCCCACCTCAGACACTTACTAGCTTTGTGACCCTGGACATTTCACTTGAGTGTCTCAGTTTCCTCATCTGAAAAATGGGTATAACAATAATACCTACCTATCCCTACAAATGAGATAACATACCAAAGCACTTTGCAAACTTCAAAGTGTTATATAAATGCTAGTTATTATTATGAGATCCTCAAGTCAGCTACTGGAAATGGAACAACTTTTATGATATGACTTGACCACCCAGATGTAAGGACTTTGTTATCTCAAATGCATGAGGCTGTCATAAAGTTGAGGTGCCTCAAGCCAGAACTTCAAAGAGTAGCTTTTTTTTTCTTTTAAAAAGCTACTAGTCCATCTGTAAAGTTTTTCTATCAAAAAGGCTAACTTTACTAAATTTTATTTCCTTGTTTGCAAAAGAAATTTTATTTAAAAAAAAACCCAAAACTAAGTACATGATGGGAACAAAGTATTCCTCTTAGTAGGAATAGTCTACAACTTTAACTCTTAGTATGACCAGAATTTTATATCACCAACTCCTTCATAGTCATTTTGAGTTCTCATGACTATTGGAGACCTTCCAAAAGAAGTTTATGTTACCATTTTGTTCAAAGTACCATAGATGTGGGCTAATTCTGGATTATAGTTTTAAAGTCGACTAAAGACAAGAAAAGGAGAAAGGGGAAGGGAGACACTAAGGCATTTTAATAGGGACCTGATGATACAAAAGCCTTGGGGGAAAAGTCAAGTCACCAGCATCATTCCCAAACATGTATGGAAGGCAGGCAGATGGGAGGTAGAATGTAGGATTTAAACTCACGAAGACCTGAGTTCAAATCCAGCCTCAGACACTTATTAGTTGTGTGACCTTGGGCAAGTCAACCAACCTCTGTCAGTTTCAGTTTCCCCATCTCTAAAATGGGGATAATAATAGCACCTAAACCATAGGGTTGCTGTGAGGTTCAAATGAGAGGACAAAATGCAAAATGATTTGCAAACTTTAAAAATTACAAATATATATATATATATATAAAATATATATGAACATATAGGTATATAAAGATATATAGATATAAAAATTTGTGTGTATATATGCATGTACATATCCATGTATATTGTATGTATATACATACATATCCATATGTGTGTATGTGTATATGTATGTATACATATATACATATACTTACATACACATATACATACACGTATATGTATATATGTGTGTATATATACATATATATGTGTGCGCGTGTGTGTGTCTGTGTTAGTTTTTTTAAGTGAGATGTTTGTCAAAGTGGATGCCAATGCCAATGCCTCAATGAAGATATGGGAGCTTTGAGCTCCCAAATGACTTCATGGTGGCCAAATCAATGTCCAAGTCATTTTTCAGAGAACTTAAGGCCCTGCTGAAGAAAAGAAGACGTGGTTTTGATTAGCGCTGTGCTGACCAGCTGTCCCTGGACCATAGTTTGTTTGCAAATGGTTCTTTTGTCTCTGGATTATAGTTATCTATTCGTAGATTTCTGATGTTCCATGATACCATGGTGACTTGCATTTTTAGTATTAGAAAACACTATATTTTTAGGACCTCCTAAAACTCATTATCACTTTAGTGAGTGTAATTTAGCTAAAATGGTTGATATTTAAGGAATTTTTCATAGTCCATTCCCCCCCATAAGGAAAGAATAAGTAGTACATTATTAAATAAGCCTAGAGACCTAGAAGGATGACAAATGGCACATACATCTCTTCAGGAACCAAAGCTGATATTACCATAGTTAATGATATTTCTGATCCTGTACTTAGGGGTTTTTTTTGGTAATTTTATTCCAACCCCACCCACGCCCCCAAGCTGCACAGTCACTCACAGACTAGTCTGGTTTCTAAAAAGCAACATGAATCATAAAAACAGTATTTGGGAAGGGTAAGGGCTCATCTATATGGCAGGACTCATAGGATTATAGATTTAGACCTATAAAAGGCTTTAGTGATCACCTAGTCTTGGTGATCTTGGTTTTATGGAGGAGAAAACTCAGACCCACAGGTGGTAAGCAGCTGTGCTAGGTCCCCTCGTTTCAACTACAGTACACTTTTCATGACACATTTCCTTTTTTTCTAAATTCATTCTTCTCAAACTATGAAAAACACACTAGTCTGACCACTCAGGGGCAGCAGTCCACGTACAATGCTCACATTAGAGAAGTACAAAAAAGAAAGTATAATCTTTCAGAGGAAGAATTGTCTAGTAAGGGCTAAAAATACTTGTTAATTAAGAAGCTGGGTTCTTCTTGTAATTATAGAATCTTTCTCTGGATAGTAAGAGCACGCGGTGCCTCTGCTCAGTATAAGGTAACGAATCAATCAACAAGTATTTATTAAGCACCTACTATATGCCAAGGTCTGTGCTAAGCACAGGAGATACAGAGACAAAAATGAAACAGCCCCTGCCCTTAATTAAGAAGCTGACATTCTACTATGTTCTATCAGGCAAGACAATATTTGTTATTATATATGAAATACATACAAAATAAATTATGAATGTAAGAAAAACATCTTAAACCTCATCAGGGATTTGAACTGAATAAATCATTGGGTTCAGAAAATATCTTGGCATTTCACTTTAACACATTCAATACATTGGAATGTAATCTTTTTGATTATTTTTCTTTTGTCATATCCCCAGCGGTTCACAGAGCCTACAACAAAGTAGGCCTTTATGAAATCGCTGTTGATCAAAAGATCCATAATTTTGTTATTATGGGTACTCCATGTTTACAAAAAATAAAAATTCATCACCTGATGGCCAACATGATAGTAATGAGCCTCCCCAAACTTACCTGGGGCCATTGCCAGGCCTGTGTGTGAAAAAATTTCCCTGCTTGGCAGTGCCTAATTGAGTTTATACTTCCTTTGCCTAGCCTTCAAGAACCCAGGACCACTCAAAGTCACAGAATTGTTCAAACTCTTTGACCCAGAGATAACACTGACAGGCCTCTACCCCAGAGGGATCAAAGAAAGAGGAAAGGGACTGATACATACAAAATATCTATATTAGCCCTTTTTCTAAGTGGGAAAGAGCTGAAAACTAAGAGGCTGCCCATCAATTATGGAATGGTTGAACAAATTATGATATAAATGTAATGTAATACTAATTTGCCATAAGAAATGCCAAAAGAGACCATTTCAGAGAAATCTAAGATGATGTCTATGAACCGAGGTAGAATAAAGTAATTAGAACCAGGAGGACAATTTATATAAAAAATACTAACTTAAGAACTCTGATCAACACAATGACCAATCATGATTCCAGAGGGCTGATGATAAATCACTCTCCTCTTGACAGAGAGGTAATGCACTCAAGGTGCATAAACAGACATATTTTGAACGTTGCCAATGCAGGAATTTGTCTTTCTTGACTACATATTTTTTGTTATAAGGGCATCATTTTTTCTTTTTTCTTTTCCATTGGGAGGGAGGAGAGAGTAGAGGAGAGAAAATAGATTTTTGTTCATTGAACAAAGTACAAAATTAAAAATAATAAAATTCAAATATTTACTTTAGAAAGTTGGGTCTGAGAATTCAGGATCACTTCCATAACACATCAGAGGAAGACTTCAATGGAGATTTATTTTAATAGTGTTCAAAAATACATAAGCACTGTCATAGTTCACATTGGTTTCCTAAATTTTTTTATAAAGATGAGTAAAAAAAAAATTTGTTTTGGTAATTTTTGGTAAAAAAAAAAAAAATTGGGGGCAATTTTTGAAGATTCAGGCAATTAATAGATTTCACCTTGGTCCCTAGTTGGTTCCATTTGAGTCCCTCATTCTTGTTCAGTCTTTTCTCTCTGGAACTTGTACTCCACTCCCTCTGAATCACAGTGTCACAAGAGTGTCAGGCTCAGGTGTCAGATGAGCTCATTATGGAATTCACTCTAAAAGGGTTTGGAGAACCCCCCAGAGGTCTCCATCCTGGAACTCAGGTCTAAGGTTTCTTCCATGTGAGCCTCTAACAGGGAGACAGCAACTGTCCTTTTTGACTCTAATAAAATTATACCCCAGGAAAAACCTTTCCTTGGGTCCTCTCCAGATATACTGCATCCAGCTTTCACTATTGCAATAAAGAGTGGAGACGTGGCAATTTCTTAAGCTCCAGTAATGAGGCCCAGTGGTATGAAATATACTTTAATGACGAGATCAGCTGTTTAAAAAACCAGAGGCTGGGTTTGTTATTCTAGAGGATCTCTTTATGGATTAAATTTGGATGCAGGATTTAATTATAACCAGTGCAAAGAGAAGAATGGTGAGGGAGAGAAATCCACTCTGAGACCCAACAGGGAGAGTATTCAACAGCACAGAAAATGAATTAAAAGAACCAAAGCCTGGGTTACCAAAATACACAGATGTACATTCCCATCACTGATAAGGCATTTCTTTTTTTTTTTTTTTCTTTTTAATAAGATTCCCCTTTGAAGGCCAGGTCCATAGAAATGGAGCCTGCCTACTAAAAGCTTGACCACTTTCTCTAAGGAGCTTAAAGGCCCCTCAGGCACAATCCAATTAATCCTCAGAGCATCCAGGAGAAATACAGGAACTACCAGAAGCTGTTATATAAGAAATACAATAATGGGTTTCCCAATAGAAAGTCCTTTTGCAAGAAAATGAAATATAGCTAAGAGAAATTTGATTGAACTGATTAGATATGTCTGGTATTGGGCTAAGAGGCAATCCACTGCATCGGTCTGTCTCATGAATAAAATAATAGGTCCCTGGTGCCAATATGGCAACATCCATTTATCCTTAAATTAGACAATAAACCTTTATTATTAGTTTTCATATTTGAGATACTTTTAGTCTCATAGAAAGAATATGAAAATCCAGTTCTAATGATAATCACAGCTGATAAAAATTTTTTTTTTTTTAGGTTTGCAGAACATTTTACATACACTATCTCATCTGATCTTCAGAACAACTCTGGAATAATCTAGATATTGTCCCATTTTACAGATGGCAAAACTGAGACTTAGAGAAGGTAAGTGATTTGCCCAGTGTCACACAGCCACTAAGAACCTACAGGGTTCTTAAAATCCCACAGAGACAGGATTTTAAACCCACTTCTCTGCCTCACTGTCCAGTGTACAAATCATTACATTGTATTGCCTCCCAATGCTGTCAGTACCCACCACATAAAGGTCATTTAGCAGCTCTTGACATTTCCATTTGTAAAATTAAACCAGTCCCTCATTCTTCCTCTTTCTCCACCTTTTTCACTTCAGTGACAATAAGGTTAATGAGATAAGGAATTCCAAGACTTGCCACTCATTTGTCTCTTTCTGGAGACATTCACAATTTCCAACCACGAAAGCCACGTTCTTCCACAGCATGAAGCAAACCCTGATGGACTGAAAGTGCCAAAACCACCCCAGAAAGTGACCCATTTGTATTTAAGCAGACCACTTCTAGAGAATACTTTTGGCCTCCAGGTGAGGCAACTTGTCTGGGAATGGGGGTTTTGTGGTAAATAATTAAATCAGGCCAAGTGCTAATGTTTAACAAACCTAGAATAAAGCATATATTTCTCTCTCTTTTTTTAAAAAAAAGCATATTTTTTAAAATGTTCATCTGTGACTTCATTGGTTTAGGCAAGACCAAGTGAGTCAATTTCATCTACCAATGAAGACCAGTACCTGCTATGAAAAACTACAGTCTTAAGACTAAGTAATTTGTTGCCTGAGCCACTGAAAAGTTAAAAGACTTGCCCGGGTTACTCAGTCAATATATTTCTGAGGCAGGAATTGAACCCAGGTCTTCTTAACCCCAAGGTCAGTTCTCTATCCACTACAATACACCTCACTGCCTCTAAAAACTGATGGCATACTTACCTCATGAGAAATAAGAATAAACAACTTGTTGGAATTTGTGATATCCACTTAGGTCTTTTTGCTTGGTCTTTGTCAAAGTAGGAAAGAGCAAGTTTTATTTATCATTGGAATTTGGAGGCCTCTGGTTCTGGGGTTAAATCAATCATATTGAAGTAGAATGTGTAACACAGTGGGAATTGCTATTTCCCAAAAGGCCTCATGGAGAGAAAGTGTGTGTCCTATGAGACAAGGCATTCCAGTGAAATATTACCTGGATACACACACACACCCCTCCAGGGGTCAGCTCAGGCTACCTACCTTGGAAAACCGACTATGGCCCATGATCACAATAGCTCTGCAGATGGTATTACCCACACACGCAAAAATCAATAATGTAGAAAAAGCCAAGACAAAATCCCCAAATGTGCTTCATCCTATTGTGGTATTTTCCTAAAGCATTAAGGAAACTTTATAGGCAGTTAATTTTAGCAAGAAGGCCTACTTTATTAGCCAATTATACCTCCTCTGTTCACGTTGGTGAGCTTTTGTTCTTTCCTCCTCTTGCCACTGTCGTTTAAATTCTAGTAATTCACCCTGGGAACAATAAAGTTGGGGGGAGAAAAAAAAAACACAAACAAATGGTTTTTAATTAACATAGTTGTTCAAGAGACAACCAAATTAATTACATATTTAACCTTAACTGGTGCAATATTTCATTACAGAAACTTTTACTTAACTTCCGTTTCTGCGAGAAATTAATTTCTTCCATAATAAAGCAGTAGTCAAAATAATTATGGTTCAGTCAAAAATAGCACCATTCTGTGACTTCCAAAATTCGAGATATAAAGCTAACGAGCACTGTTCAACAAAGCACGAAGCGTCTAGACACTCAGGCACAAGGTGCCATCTACACAGAAAGAAACAACTGCAGCATAAACTAGAATCACTTATTTCTCAGGGAATGAATGTAAGGGACATACATCACCAGGCTTACAGAGTCTAATTAACTTCTCCAGGTGTGACCCCAAATAACCTCACTTTGCATTTTTCGTTCACCTTTCTCCTGATGAACTCACAAATGTTAGGCCAGATTTCATAGTGAGCCAAGGTGAGTAAAATATATTCCCCTTTGAAAATAAGGGCTCACCTATTTCAGGTAGGATACTTCTTTCAGACAGGCCTCTAGGCTCCCTGAAGAGGTAATTTGTTGCAAATATGGCAAAACTTGACTAGAACTAAATTACTTGCTCCAGGCAGGCTGGTTGACTTCTTGGAAGTAGCAATTTATCTTGGACAGCTGAGCATTTAACTTTCAAGAGACGTATTTCACTTACCTTATTCCACCCTAGAATTAGGTCTAAGATCTGATTAATACCCATAACAATTCTGTGAGGAAGACATCGAACATTATCCGCATTTCATAGGAGTGAAGGATCCAGAAAATGATTTGGACAACGTTGCATGCCAAGTCGGCAGCAAAATGAGGTAGCTTCTCTTTTAGAATGAATGCTAAAGAGTCAAATGATAAATATGACCTTGTATCCCAAAGGCACGTGGAATTCATTTGATGAAAGATATATATTTCTTCAAGAAATTCTAGGACAGGAAGAGAAGATGGACTAGTCATGTGCTGAGGCAGAAAGAGAGTTCTACTGGTAACCTCTCGATGTCAAGAGAAACGAGAGTTGTTCCATCATGGTGGGTAGACTTTCCAAGGGCAATCTAACAGGACATGGCCAAGAGTCACATGGGACGGGCTGGCATAGATGGATAACATCTGAATCATTTGAGGGAATTTTCAAATTGAAAAGATCTTTTATCAATCTGGTGTACATTCCAATGGATTCAAAATCCATTACTCAAAAGGCTAATCAACTATGTGAATCAAAAAATTCAAATCTTTCTTCCTATGTATGTTCCATTTCTACCCCAATAAAACCCCATGTGATCAATGTATTTTAATCATTTACCTAGAATTGGAACGACAGAGTCCCAGGAAAAGACAGGCAATTTATCTGTTTTGAAAAACTGGAATTCTAATAATATCACCATACATTTATATTATGTGTAATAGTTTTCAAAGTACGCCCACAAACGCAACATCCTTGATTATTATGATAGCTATGAGGTAAAGAAACCAGGTATTGCTGTCCCCACGTGAAGGGGAATGAGGAAACAAAAAAGTTGAGTCATTTATCCAAGGCCCCATGGTTAGTATGAGTTGGACGGGACCCAAGAAGATTGTTAACCTCTTTGGTGTCATGGACCCCACCCTTTGGTAGTCTAGTGAAGCCTGTGGATTTCTTAGCAAGTTGTTTCTAAATATCAAAATAAAATATAAAGCATTACAAATGAAGCCAATTATACTGAGAGAGTTATCAAGCTATCTTTTAACAAATAAGTTCACAACTCCAGGCTAAGAACCCCTGGACCATAAGGGGCCTGAGGATTCTTCCACTTATGAGATCCCATCATATGGCAGAATTATCTAACGGAAAGCCTGAGAGGTCATTCTGTCCAAGAGTGCTGGATTTGGAGTTGGATAACTGAGGTTTAAATACTGCTCAGTCACTTACAGCCTATGTAACCTTCGGCAAGCCACTCACCTCTGTAAAATGAGAAGATGGAACAAGTCGGTCTCTTGGGTCCTGGCCAGTTCTTACTCTACGACCTTAACGATGCCATTTGATTCATGAATTCCTTTTACAGGACTAAAATCCATGTTTTCTGACTCCCAGTTACCATCTGGAAGCTTGTATCCTAAATGGTGGCATGTAAGCCTTGACTTACTGTTAACTGACCTCTTAATATTCATTATACATCAGGAAAAAATGCTGCAGTGGGACCATCAACCACAGATTCTCTTGTGCCAGCAGTTCTTGGACACATCCAAGGAAAGCTAACGCATTCTTAAACCTAAATCCTTTTTTTAATTGAGCAGGTTATACCATGCTAAAATAGGCAGTAATTTTTTCCCTTTGTATTGCTTTATCTCTGTAGGCTATTTTCCCCTCAGTAGAATAGAAGCTTCTTGAGGCCAAGACCTGTTTTCATTTTTATCTTTGCATTCTCATTCAGCACAGGGCAGCATCTGACTGCTTAATAATGGAAGCTTAATGAATGCTTGTTGAATTGAAAGAACAGATACAATATGACTAATACCCATCAAAATTTCCCCACAACACAGGTAAGGTTCATACCTTGTCCTTCCCTCCTGCTATAGAGAATAGTTTTCCTCAAAAGTTAGCAAAACTGCCCCTGGGACTTGACTGCCTCATGCCTCCCTTCATACTGCTTCCTGGTCACCCAAAAGCATAAAATCCCACCCTCAGAGGCTCCTCTGACTTGGTAAATTCCTGAAGACCACCCAATTCATTCATAATATCCTATCCTGACGACTAAATGCATTCTAGGTGGAGAATTGAGGAGCCGTGTCCAAAGATGCCACCATATCATTGCTGCACATCCTTGTTATTTTAGGGCAAAGTAAATCTCCTTTTGTTAACCATTCCATAACTTCCAAGTACCTTGTTTTATCCCAATATTGAACTTAAGCTAAGAGATAAGTGGCGGGCATTGGCCCACCACTAATAATAGGGAATGCCAAAACTAAACCCCTCCCCTAAAACTCTGAGACTGATGTGATGATGATGAAGTATAAAGGTACATAAGTATAATATATGAAGGTATATAAGCCTAATATGTCAGTATAAAGGTGAGGAAGAATGCCTTTATATTATATTTTATTTACTTATTTATTATATATTTATATAGTAGAAAAACTAATATATCTTAGAATCCTCCACCTGGAACTCAAATAAGATAGCAAATGTTTCATATAATGTCATCAGCAGATCATTGATTTAGAGCTGAAAGAGACCTGAGGCCGCCTAGTTCACTTCTCCCTCCCATTTTACATACGAGAAAACCGAGGTTCAGAAAGTGACTTTCCCAAGGCTGCATAGGGAGTAAGAGGCAGCGACAAGGTTTGAACTCAGGTCCAAATCCAGCGTGCCTTCCACTGCAGTCATGAAACATCAGACTGCAAAGATAGGACTTTCTAACATAAAGCACTGTATGAGAACAGAGAGAGGAAGGGAGGCAGCGAGGGGCAGTGCACATTCATCCTATTACAGAGACAAGAGGGCAGAGATAACAAAGCACAGACAGAGAACAGAGGAGGAGAACTAATGAGGCATCTCAATGTAGGTCTCCATAGGGCAGAGGGGGCAGAAAGCATGCTTTGTGCATGGATGCTCTTCAGATGATTACTCGATAACCAGAAAAAAGTGTTTACTAGGAAAAGACTGGTTTCCCTGTGGTACCCAAGAGCACGCCCACAACAAATTAATCTGTCCTGCTGCACTGATGGCTGTTTCAGGGAGCAGTATCCACCATATGCCTGATGAGCTGCGCCTACTGGACTCACTCTGCTAACACATATAGACCTGCAGCATCGATTTGGCCAGATGTGTAATAGGGTCCTTTGTTCAAAAGCTCAAGATTTAAGGAGGAAAAAAAGAAGAGTAAATGTCTTTTGAGCCAGGAGGGATCGTAAGCATAGGCATTTGAGGTGCCTGCATTATTGTTAGATGTTCTCTCTCAAGCACAAGAGACAGAGCCAGCGAAAGTTTCTTGTCGTTAAAAGTTTAAAATGTTTCCGTGGACACAATTCTGAATCTTTTTTTTTTTTTTTTGGCTAGGCAATCGGGGTTAAGTGACTTTCCCAAGGTCACACAGCTAGTAAGTGTTGTGTGCTACGTGTCTGAGACCGGATTTGAACTTGGGTTCTTTTGACTCTAAGGCCAGAGCTCTACCCACTGTGCCATCTAGCTGCCCCTACAATTCTGAATCTTAGATAAGCTTCATGCAACTCACAAAAAGAGGACCAGAACAGTTATAATTAAAATATCACCTTTGAGATAATTTGGAGAAAAACATTTTAATTTGCAGCAAACATTGAATTCCATTCAAATATTCATTAATGTTCTACTACATCCAGGAATGCTTTGTTAGGTAGTGGGTGGGTGGTAGAAATGCAAAGATTAAAACACACACCCACCCACCCACACACCCACCCACACACACACACCCTCTTTGTCCTTACCAAGCTCACATTCCACAAGGTGAAGGATACAACTGATTTTTCAAAATTGTAATGCACATTTAGAAATGTCTTAAGATTTACAAAGGCTTTTTGTCACAAGAGTATGGTTAAGTAGGCAATTTGAGCACAACCCATCGGGGATGCACAAAGGAAGAGTACTCTCCAACTTCAGAGCAGGTGCAGATATCCTCTGACTGCTTCTGATCAGTCATGTAGCCATCTCCACCCCTAATCAACTTGGATGGTTTCTAATTTCTTGGAAGGAGCTAAATCATTTGAATACATAATATTCTAAGCTATTTGTCTAAAAGAAAACATATGTGCATGCCTTGTGCCTTTGCTTATGCTTGGAATACCATCGCTCTCATGTGTCTGTTGACATCTTCAAACTTCAACTTGATCTCACCAATTTAAGATTATCCTTACGTAGACCTTACGAATCATTTTGTCCTGGTTGTTTTCAGGTTTATATGATAGATTACTGTTT